GGTATTGTATCTGGTAATGTCTCGAGTACGATTGCTGACACCGCGAATGAAGAAAAGTCTGGAAGGGCTAGGGGCCTGATAGGGCGACTGTTAGACAGTAATCACCGCGAGCTATATGCAACTGAACGGGACCCACAAAAGTTGTGGTCAAAATTGGAAAGCCGTTATGCAGGAAAAGATCTAGCGCGGATTTGGTATCTGCGTGGTGAATTATCACAGGTAAGATATACCAATGAGCCAATGGTTGACTATATTGCGAAATTAGAAAAGCTCTTCAACCTCCTCGCTGGAGCTGGAGAGAAACAAAGCGAGAAGGACATGATCTATGTATTACTGTCCAACCTACCCATACAATATCACCCGTTTCGTACGTCGATCAGCAATACTACCAACATAGACAGTACTTCGTACAGTACAATATGTGACCGCTTAATCCTTGAACACCAGCAACTGGTTGGAGAGCCAGGAAAACCAATCGGAAGTCGAGAACCATCTGGTGGGGCATTTTTCTCCTCTCGTTATACCCCTGGACGGTATGGGAAAGGACGTGGTGGCTCTCCTACCACCTTTCACAGACAGCCACGAACCCGACCGGAGATTGGATCACATGCTCGTGGTAACAAAAGGCAATACTACAAAAATGCAAGTGGTAAGGTGGACCGAGATAGTTGTCTCCACTGCAAAGAGAAGGGGCACTGGGCCCGGGATTGCCCCAGGAAGTTGTTCAGTGATGGAGGGGCTGCAAATTCGGCGAAGAGTAACCATGCACAGGCCTGGATGGCCGCCAATGGTAATGAAAGAAGTTCCCAAGATTGGATCTTGGATTCCGGAGCAACTCATCATATGAGTTCTCAACGTCACCTTTTCACTAATTGTCAAGACCATGATGTTAGTATCGGTATTGCTAATGGGGGTAACATTAGGGCAACTGGAATAGGTGAGGTTGGAATCATAGTTTGGAATAACGAGGGAGAAAGAACACCGATCCGCCTCCGAAACGTTCTCTATGTTCCCGGTCTGGGACCTAGTAACTTGATATCGGTACGGTGTATCCAAGAGGCTGGAGCTGTACTAGTATTTGGTGGATCTGAGAAAGATCAAGTCACAATATCAAAGAATCAGAAGGTAATTGCGTTTGCAAGGCTACAAAGAAACTCATATGTGTTACAGGCATCGCCGGAAAGCCATGAAGCAAGGTTCAACAATGCCATGCTTGCCCGACATTCCAAAAGCAAAGGATCCCTTATGGAATGGCATTACCGTTTGGGTCATCTTGGGTTTGACTCAGTTAAAACATTATTGAAAGGGAATGCTGATAGTGAGATTACTGGTCGACTGGAAAATCCGACCTGCTCACATTGCCAGTTTGGAAAACAGTCTCGCAAACCAAACTCACAGCCAGCAACGCACCGCGCGACAGAACCCCTAGAGCTAATTCATAGTGATTTAGCAGGTCCAATGTCAATCCCATCGATGGGTGGGGCCAAGTATTTTCTACTGTTTATTGATGACTTCTCTAGGTATACCAGTGTGTATACGATTAAAACTAAAGCAGAGGTTATAGATCGGTTCCGCGAATACAAGGTCTTGGTTGAAAATCAGCATGGTAACAAGAGAATACGCAGATTCCGAAGTGACGGAGGTGGTGAGTTTACCAGCAAGGAATTCGATCAGTTTTTTCGTGACTCTGGAATTGCGCGGGAGAAGACAGCACCCTATAGCCCCGAACAGAATGGTGTCAGTGAAAGAGCAAATCGTACGATCGTCGGTCGTGCAAAGGCAATGCTCTCTGCCGCGGGTTTGAAGGATGAGATGTGGGCGGAGGCCGTACACACAGCAGTGTATCTGAAGAACAGGAGCCCAACGAGTGCTCTGGAGAATGGCCGGACACCCCTCGAAGTGTTCTACGGAGAAAAGCCAAAATTCCGATCCCTGATCTCTTTTGGCGCGAAAGGGTATAAGCATGTGCCAAAGGAGCTAAGAACTAAGTGGGAGCCAAATAGTGTGTCTTGTACTTTTGTCGCATATGAGGGAACTAACCAGTTCCGAGTACTGGTTGGCCGAAAAGTGCATATTACACGGGACTTAGTTATAGCCAAGGAGGATACCGAAGCAATGGAAGACCCACGAATAACGACTGAAGCAGAGCCTCTAGTCCCGGTATTAGACTCCGATGACGACATCGATAGCACAACAGATTCACAAACCATCCGGGTACAACCACGGAGACCTACCTCAGAACCATCCAAACCACTCAGTCCTTTACCCACAAGCACCCCAAAGACTCCTACCCGAAATACGGCTCCAGGCGGATTCCCCGAAGACACCCCCGCCATTGAGCCACCACCACAGCACAGTGTTCCTGTGGTAGCCCCGGTACAAGAAGAAACCCATCAACGCCGCACACAACGCTCCAATGCCGGGAAGTTCTCTTCGTTGAGATATCGCGAGGAGTACCAATCACACTTCGCAGAAGACCATTCCACAGCCATTAATTCCAATTACCAAGCATACCACACGAGCCTAGAAACCGAACCGGCTACATATCTGGATGCGATAACAGGGCCGAAGGAGAGAGAATGGAGAGTCGCAATTCAGGAAGAATTGGACTCATTGGAGGAAAACAGCACCTGGAAGTTGGAACAGTTGCCTTCGGGGAGGGCAACGGTAAAATGTAAGTGGGTCTTCAAGGAAAAGAAGGGGGCAGAAGGAGAAACGATACGATACAAGGCAAGACTTGTAGCAAAAGGCTTTACTCAACAATATGGTGTTGACTACCTAGAGACATACGCACCCGTCGTTAAACTCGGATCCCTGCGCATCCTATTCGCACTTGCTGCATTCTATGGCTACGAAATTCACCAAGGTGACATCAAGACTGCTTACCTTCTCGGACGCCTAGAAGAGGAGATTTTTATGGAAGTCCCCGAGGGGGTGGTGATTCCAGATTCAGCAGCTACAACTGGGAGAGTGGTTTGTAGGCTGATGCGCGGGCTCTACGGTTTGAAGCAATCCGGACGTATCTGGAACCAGGCATGGGATGCGTTCCTAGTTTCCAAGTGTCACTGGAAACGATCCGGAGAAGACCACGCAGTCTACTACCGAGTTGGGAAATCGAGAACGCCAATTTGGATATTGATCTGGGTCGATGATGTCCTCTGGATTGGTATACCGGAGGATATTGCAGAAGCTAAAAAGGAATTAGGACAGCAATTTCCATTAAAAGACCTCGGGCTAGCACATTTCTTTTTGGGAATGAAGATTATTCGAAGCCCCGAGGAGCGCAGTATTACCCTAATACAAGACCAATATATCGCGACGATACTCACACGATTCCAACTCGAAAGTGCCTATACTGTATCAACCCCACTCGAGCCAGGTCTACAACTGATTGGCAAAACCGATACGGAGGCAGTGGGAGATATAACCCTATATCGCAGCATGCTGGGAAGCATCATGTATTTGATGCTGTGTACACGGCCAGATCTGGCTTTCGCTGTCGGAAGACTCAGCAAGTTCAGTACAAACCCATCGACCGTACACATGAATGCCGCGAAGCGGCTGTTACGGTATATCAGTAAGACCCGCAACAATGGTCTACGTTTTGGGCCTTTCGTCGGTGGAAGCAAACTTATACCTTTTGTATTCAGTGATGCGGATTGGGCGGGGGACAAAGAAAATAGGAGAAGCACGGGGGCTTATGTTTGTACCATTACGGACGACAGACCTAACTCCCCTCATACTGCTATTTCGTGGTCAAGCAAACAGCAATCCAGCGTCGCACTATCGTCTACGGAAGCCGAGTACATGGCTCTTACTCAGGCATGCAAGGAAGCAATTTGGGTTGGCCGTTTCCTAAAAGAAATTGACAAAAGTAAGTATGAAGACACAGAGAACATACTACCGATTACCATATTTGCCGACAACCAAGGCAGCATCGCTTTGGCGAGAAATCCAGAGTTCCACAACCGTACGAAACACATTAGCATCCAACAACACTTCATTCGTGAAAGGGTGGAAGCGGAGGAAGTACAACTTGTGTACCTACCAACCGGAGATATGGTGGCCGACTTGCTCACAAAGGCATTGGCAAGAGAGAAAGTAGAAAGGTTCCGACGAGATATTGGGATTCGGGAGACAAGCTCTTAAAATTGTCATCAAGGAAGTAGAAGGAGGAACAGAAGGAGGAACAAGGGTGATTGGAACGATGGCTTAGCTAGTTCTTTCTTTCATTCAATACTTTCATATACGTTTTGTTTCTTCTGTCAAACTGGAAAGGTTTTTTATTTTTTTTATTTTTTATTTTTTTATCTTTTCCCGGTGGATATGTGTGTTCGCAGAGTGGGAG